AATTTCATGATGAATGGACCAAAAGAAATGACCCAAAATGACTTGGAAAAAAGTCTGGTTCCATTGACTTACATTAAAAGTAAGGTATGTTTTTTCCTTCTCCTGTAAAGTTACCATTTTGGAGATGCGAGCTATCTTCCGACAACAGTGATATATACATATATATATATATTCAGACAGATATACATCAGAGTGTTTACTAAACCTCAAAGACATGTGACCTGACTGTACAGTAAAACTAATAGTCTGCCCCACCTATAACGATGGAAAATTAAGGTTTCTGCTATACGTTTATAATGTCAGAGGAGCGTAAAGTTGATTTAACTCCACTGGGCAGATATACACTTTATTTTACAGTGTGTGAGACAGTACAGCTCAGGCGGTGGCGTTAAAGCTCTCATTTCCTCCTTTAACTGTGTTGTTTCATCAAGGACGCTGAGTTCTTCCGTTTGAGTGCTTCATTCGATTTCACTCGATCGCTTCTTCAGAACATTGTACTGTCTTTCACATCTGATGAACTGACTTTTCTTTGTAAACTAAGAGACCTAAATGCAATGTGGAATTCACAGCTTAACAACTAGCTGACAAAGTGCTTCTGCTCTTCTTTTCCTCCCAGGGCATAAAATTAACTCTTTTGTGGGTTTAATGGGGAAAAGAAGCCAGGAGGAACCAGGTAAGCATGAAAGAAAACCAGAGCTAACCCAAAATCTTTGTTTATAAGAACCAAAATGGTGCAAAACACCCATTTTGTCCACTTACTAGTGGGAAAATTGAATTTGAAGGTATGTTTATAACACTTTTTGTCTTCATTTTCAGAATCGTACGAATGGGCCACGCTACAGAACTACGAGGCAAGGCGTTAACACACAAAGCAACCTCCATCGTGTCCGCTTCTGATGCTCTTCATGCTCAACAGAGTGGAGAAATCTCATCTCATGCCTTTTTTTTATTAAAAAACACACTTATTTAGGTTGTTTCAGTTCTAAAGTCCAATAAAAAATGCTCTGTTTTCACCTCGTGGTGGTGTAGCAGTACCTGTGCCAATTTACGTTTGTAGTAAGAAGGGAACAGACATTTTTACACTGTCCAACTGTGATCAAACATGTTACTTAATGTTAAAGTCTTATACGACAACTGGACTATTAAAGCGGAGCTCTACTGTGGGGTTTATGAGAAACTTGCACTGCCAATCTCTCTGCATAGTGCCTCATGTTCGAAATCACGACTGATTGTTCTGTAAATACACTTTCATATAGCCAGATATGGGCATGTGCTCAACCTGACACCCTAACATCTCCTGTCAGTACGATAATCAATGTGACTGTGGCTTAAACATTAAAATTATTTTCCTTATTGGTGACATTTTTGATTCTATATTTTATTATTGATCCAATAAACATTATCTAACCTGTGCTTTAGTCATGGACTGATTATACACTCTCAAAACATGATAACAGAACAGATAAACAACAAAATGACCTCAACAGTGAGTAAAAGGCTGTTAAAGTGGAACTCCACCCTTTTTGTTCAGAATGTCAGCACAGTTCAGTGGCTAGGATGTAAACAATGTTATTCAGAATGGTTTGATGTGAAAAGCTCTGTTCTAGAGAGACTTACCAAGTCAGCAGTGGTGGAACCAGATGTCTGAAGCATTTAATGCCTCTAAAAGCTCCCTCACAGGATGTTAGGTTTTGAAGTAAATACAGGGTGAGGCAAAATAGTTCCCAAAGGAAACTTTTTTTTTTTCAGATTTTCCACTATTTTACCATATATAACCAATCAATATTACATTTAACAACTTAGAACGTTTGTTGGTCATTTTGATAGTAAATACAATAAATGATGATGTTCATAGATATCACACCATCTGTTTCTACCACCACTGTAAAGAAATCAGACTCGCTGAGTTTCTCTACAGTGAACCATTTCACATTAAACCACTCTGACTGACTTTGTTTACAACAGAGTTAACCAGGTATTTTATAAAATAGGTGGATTCCCCTTTAACACATTGTCTTTGGGAGTGTATACATTGTTGACTTGGGTATATGAGTCAAAACGATTCATTTGCCTTATTTTATTGTGTAAATTTATATTTTATTATTATAAATGTGATGTATATTCTGCACATTAGGGCAGCCCATTCTTCTGTTTAAGTATACAACATGCCCCCTAGTGGTATGAGGAAGAATAGCCACAAAAGAGCACACAGTAGTTTACAAAGATATTATAAATTATTGTTTAATAAATAGGCATACAAGTGAGAAAAATACTTCATTCTCAAAGAAGAATCCTGACCTTATAACTTATTTCATATCTTAGAAAATTTCATCCAATAACAAGTAGGGAATAAAGTACATAGATACATACATGGTGATGATATCTCTTGAATATAACTGGCTCAGTGATGACAGCTGGATCTCAAGCTGAACTGACCATCAAGCTCAGCTGAAGCTCGACTGACCAAATGAAGTCACTGTGTCAGTAAACCATCCATAGTGTTTACAGAATCCAAAGCAGATCCTATCCCAGTTTTCTTGACAGAATTCTTCTGGTTACTTGTCCATCACTCTTAAAAGGGAAGGCGCAGAAGGATAAGCGGTTTAGATGATGTATGTATGTATATGTGTGTGTATATATATATATATATATATATATATATATATATATATATATATATATATATATATATATAATGCACAAATTATTTAAACCCTATATTTAATTAATAATATTACAAAAAAAAAAAAATATTAAGGCTTTTGAACTTTGCTGCTTCGTCTCAGTCCATCTTAAATGAGCTCGGGCCCAGAGAAGGCGGCAGCGTTTCTGGATCCTGTTTATATATGGTTTCTTCTTTGCATGGTACAGTTTTAACTTGCATTTGTGGATGCGGCAATGAACTGTGTTCACAGGCAAAGGTTTTAGGAAGTGTGCCTGAACCCACACAGTGGTTTACACTGCAGAATCATATCTGGTTTTTAAACAGTGCCACCTGAGGGCCTGAAGATCACAGCCAGCCAATACTGGTTTTCAGTCTTGTCCCTTGCATGCAGAGATTTCTCTAGATTCTTTTAATCTTTTAATGATATAATGTACCGTAGGTGATGAAATCCCCAAGTTCTTTGCTATTTTACATTAAAAACACTATTATTCTTGAGAAACATAGTCTTTCACAGAGTGGTGAACCCCTTTACTTCTGAAAGACTCAGCTTCTCTGGAATGCTCTGTTGTAAACTAGATCATGTGACTGACCTGTTGCTAATTAACCTAATTAGTTGTGAGATGTTCCACCATGTTTTTGAAATGTGTCACCGGAATCATATTCATAATGGGCCCATACTTTTCAAAATACAATAAAATTTCTCAATTTCAACATTGCAAATGGCAAATGTCTTTGTATTATTTGCAATTAAATTTAGGGTTTAAAAGGTTTATTTACATTTTGCTCAGCACCCCACTTTTTTGGTAATGGGGTTGTAAACACTGTCAACGTTTTAAAACAATTCATTCACTCCCCCAGTCCATATGTGCAAACTAAGCTACAAAAACAGCTCATTTTGTGATAGCGGTGATGTCACAAAAAACAATGCATTTATGCACTTACATATATCCACCTATCTAGCCTGCATTTTAAATGAGGCAGTAAACAGGACAGCCAATCAGAAAAGACCTAATTTACATATCAGTTTTAAAGGAAGAGCCTGTTTAATGTTAAGTCATAAGGACAGGCTGGAAAAATGGTCACGTAAAAATTAATTGTGTCTGTTTTTGGTTTAAAAACCACACAAACTTTATAAGTTAGGAAACTATAAAATGCAAGAAAAACATCATTTGGGCCCTTTAAAAATGAAAGGTTCTTGGTTTGGAAGTCCAGTTCAGTTCTGGGGGAAAACAAAAAGAATGGTGTGGAAAACGTTTATTAGGTGGAAGACTTTAATAGGGTTCCTCCCACTCACACATCTCATTTACAAAAATGATCCATCCACTGAAAGATTCTCTGGAGAACCAAAGGTGGTTCTTCTACAGCATCACTCACAAAGAACCCTTTCTTGAACACCTTTATTGTACAGCTTGTGGATGCAGAGGGTTCAGAAAAAAGCGGCTTTCTCAAAACTGAAAATTGTTCACGTCCAGGAACAGAGAGCAAGGAACAAAGTGAAAAAGAGAGAAAGAACAGTGATGTTCTATTCTCCACGTTCTTTTTTATTTATTATATATTTAGTCCTGGCTGAGTCCTGACGCCAGAGGAATTCAAGAAACTTCAAGGATTTGTTCCCAAAATCACTAAATACTTTCTGAGACCCTGAAGTGTGACTCACGACAAAGAACAGTCTTAATGCCAATGTCATGCTATATCAGCTGGAGATGAATCAGCTGAAGAGGAGAGAGAGAGAGAGAGAGAGAGAGAGAGAGAGACTAGACTGGACACCAGGTCAGCTACAAAACTGCCTTACAGAAGTGACTGAACTGCAAAAAACTTAATTTTATTATCTAAAATGCTATTTTAGTCCTTTATGTTTGATGAGACTCTAATTAACCCTTTAATCACATTGTAAGACTTATTATCCACTGACAACAGACTACAATGCAAACTGGCTGAGTTAATATCAGCATTAGAAGGCAGATAAATACAGTCATATGCAAAAAATTCAAACACACCCAGATCAAATTACTAATTACAATGAGTGAGAATAGGTTAACACATCCTCTACAAGGAACCACCTTAATTATGGAATTTCCTGCAAATATTATGCACAGCTTCTGTCAATTTGTTGAGTTTAACATACAGGAAATATATAAAATGTGCCATTATGTTTGCACTACAGAGAACAAACATTACATATGGAATAGTACTGCATAACTTCTGCACAACTTCTACATATTTGCTGATTAATATATTGGAAATGTAAAATATAAAATGTGCCATAACTTTTGCACAGGCCACATTTAGTGTTTTATTTATGTTAAGTTCAGCAAATAAACAGTAATTGTGCATTAAAACGTGTAGAATTGTGTTCTCTGTACAAGATGTGTTCATTTATTTTCACTTAGTCATTTAACCAGGGTGTACAAACCTTTACACAAGACCATACTTGGATGTGACTCTTAGAGCAAGGCCTTCAGTTTGGGCCATAAATGTCAAAATCCCTCTAAAATAATGCTAATTTTGCTTGCTCCCCTACAGAATTTCCAATATTATGTTAGCGCTAAGCTAACGCTGGTGCACATAAACATTTTTTGCCGTTCTAGAATAAACACAGACGTTTAAAGCTTGTAAAATATGTCATGCTTTGTTTAAAGCTTGTAAAAAACATTAACATATACTGAGCTTGTATGTATCAGTTTTACACTGACTTTCAGTAAAGAGTTCTGACATAGAGCTGCTGCCGCTGTTTTACATTCCTAACAACTAACCCAACCCTGCTTAGACTACAGCTATTCACAGCAACATATCTAGAACTTCCAGAAGGCCTAGAGTGATGTTATTTCCTCACTAAATTGGTTCCACCTATTGTGAATCAAAGCTTGAGTGGTTGATTCTTCTTTCAGTTCCTAATTATGTTGGTAGTTAATTGAATGTGTAAGGCTTTCAGTTCGGCTGCTGAAGTCCTAGCAATGAGAGAGCTCGCTAGGCTGTATCTACCTAAATACCATAGGGGGGAAAATATCCTGATCAGATGATTTTCTGTTGGGTAATTTAAAAAAAGTAACCCTTTTGTTTCCAGGCAAAATTCAACAATGAAGCAAATGTATTACCACAGTGCTTGCACAGATTAAGTACTACAAGCATGATAAATATGATTATATATATATATATATATATATATATATATATATATATATATAGCTGCTGTCGGAACAAAACCTCGTATCTCCAAAATGGTAACTTTACAGGAGAAGGAAAAATATACTTTACTTTTAATGTAAGTCAATAGAACCAGACCCCTTTCAAATTATGTCAAAAAGTGGAAAATGACAAAAATGGAGATATGAGGTATATCAGGTGTCACTGTACTCACGGCTCTTTAAATGTGATTTCAGAGATCACCCAGTGTTGCAGAACCAACGTTGAACACTCTGAGCTGTTGGAGGTTCACTGCCAATGAAAATCACGCTGCACAGTTATGACGGATTCACTCTTCTTGAAGTGGAGAACGCAGAACGCTTTCTGCTCAGGGGTCTCATCTCCTCTCAGACTGAAGGGAACCATCTTCCTGTAACAGTCAGAAACTATATGACCCCCTTTCTTTCAATTGGATTGTGATTGGTTCCTAGGAGCCTCACGGTGGTGAAAATATGGCGCTTTGAAATCGGAGGAGTCTTTTGGAATCACCGTGTGTGTAATTTCTTAGATTATATGACTGAAGACAAAGACAACAAACTGTTGAACCATCACTTTCTAAATGCAACAATGGTGCCGTCTAGTGGCTAAAAAAGGGCCAAACATGTAGTACGACTAGTACTGCCAGCTGAATTTTGAGCAGGACAGCTGAAGAGACTGCCTGCCGTACAGTCTAAGATTTGAATCAGGGGAAACGTTAGTCTTATCATAGCAGCCCACAGTGCTGGAGGGAATAATGATCCCCTGAACTGAGTGGCTTCAGCTGAAGAACTGAGGTGCAAAACTGCCCAGCAGTCTAAAGCTGACTAAGCCGTTTTAGGAGCAGCCTTTTGGAAAACTAACTCAGACTCCACACTGGTTCACATAATTCAATCAGGGGGATGAAATGCCACCGTATTTAGTTAAGATTAGTGAGCAGCGTATGAGAAAATGGCCATGTTAACATGGAGAGAAAGCAAGATAACGGAACTAACCAAGACTGAGCAGCCTTTCAAACACCATGGCTTTCCAATGAGTCAGTACTGATTAACTCATCAACTACTTTGACCTCTTTTATGTAAATACACTAGAAATTGATTATGATATTAGCTGTGACGTTTATGGATAAATCATGCACCCCTTTTTGATCATATGCTATTACAGATTAACATGTAAAGCTGACAACAGTATTTGATTCATTTCTAGACCAATAAATAGATTTTTCTTCTCCTGCTATTTCATGTGCCGTGCGCTAGTAGAGTCAGAATTGTTCACAGTGGTGATGATAGGAACCAGATGTCCACCTCTAAACGCTCCCTCACAGAAAGTTATTACATAAAACTGTTACATTATGCTGCCTGGTGTCTGAGACAGGTTTAGGACAACTTTGACAAGGTTTTGGCCTAAAATAACAAATATATTTACCAAAAAAAATTATATATATATATATATATATGTGTGTGTGTGTGTGTGTGTTCATTGTTGGATCTTATGGGGCCCGAGTGCAGGAAAACAAAGTTCATGAGCCTCCCCATTCAGAAAAATCATCACGTACTTCGCTTGTTTACTCGCTGTTCTTGCCTCAATGATTTCACACCCACCTACAAGCATTTTCTCTAGAATACCTTTTTTAGGTTTTAAAGGATAAATAATAAATATATGCTGCAGATTGTGAA